GAGCGGTTGGAGAGGGAGCGGCAGGAGCTGCGGGTGCTGGACCTTCTGGAGCAGCAGCGGCGGCAGCAGCAGCAGCAGCAGCAGTCGCAGCAGCAGCAGCAGCCGCAGCCGCCGCCGTAGCTGCAGCAGCAGCAGTAGCAGCCGCAGCCGCCCCCGCAGCTTCCTCTGGAGCGGCAGTTGTTCCCACCTGTGAGTGGCCTGCGGGCCCTTGGCCTTTCCTCCTCTCCTCCTGTCCGCTCCCAGTCTCCTCCTGTGTTTGTTCCTCCGTTGCCTCCTCCTGACGACCGTCCGGCGGTCTGGTCTTCTCCTCCTCCTCAGTCTCCTCCTCCTTCTGTCCGTCGCGACTTGATCACCCGTTGTCCTCCGCGTGCTCGTCACTCGTCCCCTGTTACTGACCTCCACACTGCCCTCCTTTGTTCGTCTCGTCGTCGTTCTCCTTCTCCTGTGTCCGTTCTCCCGTCCCCTCCTCCGTCCTCTCTCACAGCCCTCCCCACTCCTATCTCTGACTACTACCGCGCTGTTCGTCCTGTTGCCGCACGTGTCCTCGCCACTCTTGTCACCGGCTCTCGTTTCCCTCCGTCGTCTGCATCGGCTCTCACTGCCACTGTCGCTGAGTTTGCTGCCGCCAGCCGCCTTGACTACGCCACCCGTGTGGTGCCAGCTCCTCCCTCCCGTCCTCTGTCCGTCGGGGGTGGGTTTGCCCTTGGCTGTGACGTCCTAGAGGACAGAGAGTCTGAGCTGGAGTACTGGGCAGCCGCTTCTCCCTCTGTGTGTGCCATGCTGCTCTCCCCTGAGGGAGACCCCGACGCCCTTGACATACCGACTCCTCGCACTTACCGCGAGGCAGTGTCAGGGGCGTGGGCCTCTCAGTGGAAAGCGGCTATGGACTCAGAGTTGGCGTCTTGGAGATCCACAGGCACCTACGTCGACGCAGTTCCCCCTCCCAGGGCGAACGTAGTCGATGGCATGTGGCTCTTCAAGGTGAAGCGACCGCCTGGAGCACCGCCGGTGTTCAAGGCGCGCTACGTGGCTAGGGGCTTCAGTCAGTGTGAGGGAGTTGAATTCTTCCAGACCTTCGCCCCGACCCCGAAGATGACTACTCTTCGGGTGTTACTCCACATAGCAGCGCAGCGAGACTACGAGCTGCACTCCCTCGACTTCTCCACTGCGTTCCTCCAGGGCCGACTGCATGAGGAGATCTGGCTGCGCCGTCCTCCTGGATTCACTGACACCTTCCCACCTGGGACCCAGTGGAGCCTGAGGCGACCAGTCTACGGTCTCCGCCAGTCGCCCCGTGAGTGGCACGACACTCTTCGCTCCACGCTTCGTGACCTTGGGTTCAGCCCGTCCTCCGCCGACCCGACGCTGTTTGTTCGAGCGGGTTCTACTCCTTTCTTTATCCTTGTCTACGTCGACGACTTGGTGTTTGCTACAGCAGACAGGGCAGCCCTGGCTCAGGTGAAGTCCGAACTGCAGAAGAGACACAAGTGCACTGACCTGGGTGAGCTACAGCGCTACCTTGGCCTGCAGATCACCCGGGACAGAGCCGCTCGCACCATCACACTGACTCAGTCACACATGGTGCAGCAGGTCCTTCGGCGGTTCGACTTCCAGTTCTCCACCACACAGCCCACTCCTCTTGCTGTTGACCACAGACTCACGGGCCCCTTTCCTGACGAGCCCTTTGAGTCCAGTGGACCCTACGCAGAGCTGGTGGGCTGCCTCATGTACCTGATGACTTGTACTCGACCGGACCTCGCCTTTCCCCTCAGCATCCTTTCTCGCTTTGTTGCGATTGGGAGACACCGCCCTGTCCACTGGACAGCTGCTGTGAGGGTGGCGAAGTACCTGGCGACTACATCAGGCATGGGGCTTGTGCTTGGAGGGACTCAGCCAGTGGCGTTGACTGGTCATTGCGACTCTTCCTACGCTGACGACGTGGAGACTCAGCGCTCGACTCAGGGTTACTGCTTCAGTCTGGGAGCTGGTGCTGTGTCATGGAGGTCTACACGGTCGTCGTCTATGGCTACTTCCAGCGCAGAGGCAGAGATCTACGCTGGTGCCATGGCGGCACAGGAGCTTCGCTGGTTGACCTTCTTGCTCGCCGACCTTGGTGAGCGGCCTCGCTCTGCACCGACCTTGTACGCTGACAACAAGGCAATGATCCTCCTGTGTCGAGAGCCTCGACTGGAGAGCAGGGTGAAGCATATTGACGTGAGGTACTTTCTCCTACGAGAGTTGCAGCGACGCGGCCAGGCACGCTTGGACTTTGTGGCCTCAGAGGCCAACACTGCCGACGTCTTCACCAAGGCCTTGGCGCCTCGTGACCACCACAGGTTCTGTGTACAGTTGGGGCTTGTTGACGCTGGTGTTTGGTTACTGTAGACTTGCTTCTTGTTGCTTGCTCTGTTTGTTCCTGTATCTATACATATTGTGAACTCTTGAACTGGCCTTGTGGCCCTTTGCTTGTGCTTAGATTGTGTGGTGACTTCGTGATCCACCCTGAGCTTGCTGTGTTCCTTCTCTTGACTGGTCTTGTGACCTTTTGTTTCCCTTGGTTGATTTGATGCCCCTCACTTAGCCTATGGGGGTGTGTCAAATGTTTATATGTTATAGATGTTAGTTATCTAGGCTACAGTGAGTTGCCCTCTAAAGGGTACAACATTCTCTAGGTCGACTTGTATCCTATTGTTCCTACCCACTCAACACATTCTCTCGACACTTGTTCCTAGCCTAACTTAAGAAGAGTGTACACAAAATTTCAGGGTCCACTAAAGCAATACTTTGAATGGATCAGGGACCAAAATGTGAAAAACCTGATTTCTCAGGGACCAGAAAGTGACAAGTCTGAAATCACCCTGAAATCAGGGTAATTACCCTGATAAAATCAGCCCCGGGTTGAAGTTATTGGAAACTAATAGACGACTGATTCTGACCCATTTTTCTCCTTTTAACCTGGACAGCATTTAGACAAAATATGAGTGTTTTTATAGTAGGTGTATCAATGTTACTCGTAATATCTACAATGAGTTCTTGTTTGGCTGGTCATTAAAAAGGGGTCCAAAGCCCCGCATTTCTCTGTTTCCTCACCCCGCCTCGGATCGCGTTGCTACTCGAAAAACGCGTTAGCAAAAAAGTTGGTGGCAGAGCTGAAACCAGTTACCGTACTGGAACGTATTGCTTCGTCTCAAACCTAGGTTGTAAATATAAGAGCCGATTTGAAACCAGGCGTTTTCACAAGCCATGATCACCTTACTGTGCGGCGTGAATAGCGGTGGCGGAGGTGAAACATGCTACCATACTAGAATGCATTTCATCGTTCAACACCCTGGTCGTACCCATGAAATCCGATTTGAACCCTCGTTTTTTCATGTGCCTTTGATCTAGATGCATGCGGCATAAATAGCGCACCTGGAACATCTCATTCATCACATTCATTCCAACTCCCGATTGCTTTCGTCTCTCATTGTCGCTTCGGTCTTCCATTAGGCCATCATGGCAACGTTTTTCCGCCTAGCGAATATTGTCCGCGCCATGCTGGTGTTGGCGCTGGCGCTTCTCCTCGCATCCCACGGTGAGTTGCGCCTCTTTTCAGCCTGGCACAGGCGTTCCAATACTATCCCTGTTGTCCAGTGGTACGTGCAGTATGCAGCTGTACATAGTAGCACCTCCGTTTTCCCTCTTTACTTTAGCATCTCCGTTTGGGGTAATGCTGACGCGTTGGAATATCGCGTTTTTTTTTTATTGGTAAACCACAAATCTACACACAGTTCCCTTGGCGGCGGGGAGGAAGACGAGGGCGGCGGATTTCGCGGAGTACTATCAAACTCGCGGCGAGACGTGCGCCGTGTTGCTGAAGCGATACTACGCGGGCAAGCAGTTCAAATTCGCGGCCCTCAACAACGGCCGTCGCTGCGAGGACCCGATCGCAAAGGACACGATTATCCGCGTTGTGTGAGCGCGCTGGTGTGTTAACTTGAAAATTTAACGGGATCCACCGTCGTACGGCACGACAACCTGCCAGTGGGAGGTGATAGCTGAAGGTGGTGGCTGGCTTTGTTGTAGCTAGCATACCGTAGTTGCACTTTATCATGTTGTACTACTAATCTAGGTGCTGCATTTTCCAGTAAAACGCCGCTGTTAGTGAAGCTACCTTAGTACCGTATGCTGTTGATATACGTGTCTGAGCTTGGTGATTCCAACCAACGAAGCAAGTCTCTGCCGCAAAATTCTGCTAGCAGTTTATCCACTGCTCTCTGTCGGATCATAGCGAGTTTGCGAATTTGCACAAACGCAACTATTTATTGAAGTACCGTATATGATCTGCCGTCTACATGTCCTGGTTTTGCTGCCCTCATCTGATTATTTGTGATTGCAATACCAGCATTTCACTGCTCTACCATTGTTTCAGAGACATGCTCTCGAAGCATCCATTGCAACAACACGGTCACGACATAGTATGGTAATGCTCATATGCAATTACATTTCAAAGAGCGAGTTGATAGACAACGTGTTTGTATGCATGCAGGGATCGCAGGGGATGTTGACGTGAGTGCATGTGAGAGCATACATGCGCTACCATGCATGCATGTGAGAGCATACACGCTACCATGCATGCATGTGAGAGCATGCACCACGCATGCATGTGAGAGCATACATGCGCTACCATGAATGTGAGAGCATACATGCTAGCATGCATGCAAACGCTGTGAACCCACATGAGACTGTGTCAATGAGAGGGTGAGGGCGTGGAGTTGAGTGCATGTGAATGTGAGTGTGAATGCATGTGGGAACATGCATGAAAGAGTATGAGTGTGAATGCATGCACGAGTGTGAGTGTGAATGCATGCACGAGTGTGAGTGTGAATGCATGCACGAGTGTGAGTGTGAATGCATGCACGAGTGTGAGTGTGAATGCATGCACGAGTATGAGTGTATGCAATGGCACAGCAAAGAATGAGTGATCAGCCGAGCTGTGCTTGCAGCGCGCACACCCATGATCACAGCAGTGGGGACCACGAGGCACAGGGGAAGGCAGAGAGCAGGCAGACTGCCACCTGGGAGGAGCAAGGGGCAGAGGAGGTGACAAGGGGGAGAGGAGAGAGAAGAATGAGATTTAAGAAATCGCAAAAGACAACTCACCACACATGACGACCAAGAAACCTCACCACCCTCCAGCACACATTGCACTCTTGGGGTGGGGTCATGAGTGGTCTAGTCCCATCCCCTTCACGTTATGAGAAGCCCATCAGACACTTTGCGCCTAGTCAGTCTAGTCCCATAAGACACTCAGTCAGTCACCAAAGCAGGCCTTTTCACCAACGCTGCTGCTGTGCTTCCCTCGAGTCACCTCACCTGCCTCACCACTCGTCTCCTGCTGCTGTGCTCCCAACTGCTCAAGGCCTACCAAGCCACCTTCTCACCCAACTGCTCCCTCTTCTGACCCTCTCATCACCTGCCACGCCACGCGCCTCACAGCCCTCTCCTCATGCCTCTCCCTTCCCTCGTGTCCCCAAGGCACTTCACCACCACTTCTGCCCTTCTCATCTCACCCAACTGCTCTATCATTCACCCCTTCTAAGTTGACTCAAAAGTCATCTTCTTACCCAAATGCTCCCAGTTCTACCCCTCCCATCCGCCCCCATTCACCCCCTCCCATCCACACCCCTTCTCCCCCTCCCATCCCTGTTCTCACCTGCCACGCCGCGCGCCTCACAGCCTTCTCCTCATGTTTTGGGTTCATGTCTTCATGTCCTCATGTCTTCATGTTTTGGGTTGCTCCATCCGATACACTTCATTGCACACCTGGGAAGGCCTAGTCTCATCAAACACTCAATCGGCCACCGCTGCTGCTGCGCTTCCCCCTTAATGCCTCACCTGCCTCACCGTTCTCCTCCTACTGCTGTCATCACGTTCCACCAGGTCGCCTTCTCATCCCACTGCTCCCTCTTCTCCCTCCCATCCCTCTCCTCACCTGCCACGCCACACGCCTCACAGCCCTCTCCTCGTGCCCCGCCAGGCACTTCACCACCACTGCTGCCACTCGCATCCGCATCACCTCCTCCCCCTCCTCACGCCCTCTCCACTGGGCCAATGGGCGGCTGACACGTGGCATGTGGGAGGAGGATGTGAGAAGAGGCGTGTGTAGGGCCAGTGGTGGCAGTGTGTGTGGTGGAGACAGGGAGTGGGCGAACGAATGTGGGTGCAACGGTGCATGGGCAGCTGGCGAGTCATCAGGCTGTCGCTGCTGCCGCTTCCTCGCCACATGCTCGTCCACCTCTGCTTGACTCCTGTGTGCGTTTCCTCTCACTCCAGGCTGCTTGATTTGCTGCGGGAGACGTGGGTGTGAGGAGCGGTGCAGATGGCGTGTGAGGGAGAGGGGCAGGGGTGGCGGTGGGGAGGCGGGGAGAGCGAGGGAGAGGAGGAGGGGGAGAGTGTGGAGGGCGAAGGGTGGAGAGACGTCGCAGAGGAAGGTGAGCGCGAAGAGAGCTGCTTGGCGCTGCTGGGGTGGTGGGTGGCGGTTGAGGATGGAGGAGGGGTTGGTGGGAGGGAAGGGTGGGGGAGGTTGTTGAAAAAAGGGGATTGAGGAAAAAGGGAGCGTAGACAACACGAAAGAGTGTGGCAGCAAAGAGAGGTGCGTGGGGCTTGGGGTGGGAAGACAGTTGCAAGATTCAGAGTGAAGTGCAGCTGCATGGAGTTTGGGGTGCGATGGAAGACACGGCATGGGACGCAACGCGAGCAGTGAAGAGAGAGAGAGTGATGGAGCTAGGAGTTGGGGAGGGGAGCGTGGAGAGGGAAGGACCAGGTTGAGGTAAGGGAGGAAACTGCAAAACAAAAGGGGGGGGTGGGACAGGCGGCCATTTAGGCAGCAGGAGGAGGTGTGGGATGGGCGAGGTACAGCGAGTGAGGGAGGGGAATCGTGAGAATGCGATAAAGCGAAGAGCAAGCAAGACCTTCAAGACCAAAGACGCACACACGCACGCACGCACACACAACCACGCACGAACTCACGCACGCACACACATCCACCCACACATCCACCCAACCACCACCTTTCTTTTCCCCGCTCCACCCACCCAACCACCCCCCTCCTTACCCCTTTTTCTCCACCAGATACACAACACACGCACACACACATGCAAAGCTAAACGCACCACCCACCTCACCTCCTATTCCCCCTTATCCCCCTCTTTCTCCCCCTCCCCCCGCTCCCCTCTCTCACCTCCTGCTGTCCCTCGGCTTCCATTGCCGCCTGCACGACCAACTCCTGCACGTGTGCTACGTCAGCAGCTAGCGGAGCGAGGCAGCCAATCAGGCGCAGCGCGAGACAGCGGGCTTCAAGCGAGTCAACGGAGTCAAGAGCGCCAGCAGCAAGTGACGATGGGGGCGAAGGGGAGTCACTTTGCATTGCTGCTGCTGCGCCTGCTGTGGCTGTGACTGTGGCTGCTGCTGCTGCTGCGGTGGGTGGGAGTGGAAAGCAGGAGGAGCGAGAGAGCAGAGGGGCGATGCGGGTGATGACTTGGGTTGGGTTCAAGAGCTTCCGAGCAGTCAACACGCCTGCCCAGTCACTGCCACCGCCAGCACCACCATCACTGCCAGCACGATCGCCACTATCGCTATCACCATCACTATCGCCAGCACTCTCACTGCCATCATTGCTGCTAGCGCTGTTCCCTCCACCATCATCACCATCAATGTCTGCAGCACCCCCATCATTGAAAGTTATATTCTCTGCCTCCCCATGGGCGCCATCCCCACCTTCCTCTCCTTGCCTCCTCGTTCTCCCATCACAAGCCCCACTTTCTCTCTCTCCTTCCCTCGTGGTGGTCACTCGGTTTCCCCTTCTTCTCCCTCCCCTCCACACATCCCTCACTCGCTCTCCCTCCCTCCTCCATCGCCACTGCAGCAGGCTGACGTCATACATGCTGCTGACGTCAGGCATGGCGTCACCATCCGCGTCACACCTCCCAGCACCGAGAGGCGTTCTCAGGGCGGCAGGTGTGAGTGAGGGGGCAGCGGGTGCAGCTGACGTGGCATGTTGAGATGCAGGAGAGGGAGGAGCAGGACGGGGAGGAGCGGGAGGAGAGGGAGGGAGGGGAGCGGCAGCAGTGGTGAGGTGGAGGAGGAAGAGCTTGAGAATGCAGAGGCGGGTGGCGCTGCTGCTGCTGCTGCTGCTGAAAACATCAGCCAGACGCAGAACCAGCGAATTGAATCGTGCGACGTCACTCTCAGACACAATGGCTTGTCGCTCCTCTCCCTGCTCCTCCCACGTGCTCCTCCTCCCACGCTCCGTCTCCCTCCCCCGCTTCCTCTTCCTCCCCGCCCCTGCGCTCCTCCCTGGTTGCTGCCCCAGCGTCCATTCCACCATGGCAGGCCCCGCTGCGAGAATTCCGTGGCACTGGGTGGCTGAGAGGGGCGGGAAAAGGGATAGGTGAGAGAGGGGAAAGAGAGGGGAGAGAGGGAGAGAGGGCAGAGAGAGGGAGAGAGGGGAAAGAGACTGGAGAGAGGGAGAGAGGGCAGGGAGGGGAGAGAGGGGAGAGAAAGTGGGCGAGTGGTAAGTGCAGGGCCTGATGCCGTTGCTCAGCAACAAGCATGGTAGGCACGGCAGGCACGGCAGGCACGGCAGGCACGGCAGGCACGGCACGCACGGCAGGCACGGCAGGCACGGCAGGCACGGCAGGCACGACAGGCACGGCAGGCACGGCAGGCACGGCAGGCACGGCAGGCACGGCAGGCATGGTAGGCACGGTAGGCACGGCAGGCACGGCAGGCACGGCAGGCATGGTAGGCACGGTAGGCACGGTAGGCACGGTAGGCATGGTAGGCATGGTAGGCATGGTAGGGCAGCGATAGCAGAAACGCGGAGGCAGCAGCGTGCACAGGGTGGCAGGAAACACGGACGAAGGCGGGGAGGGACAAGGGTAGGAGGTGAGATTGAGAGGAGGTGAGTGGGGGAGCAAGGAGAGACGGGGAGATATGGAGGACGGCTCAGGCGAATAGCGGCGAGAGATGACGCGCATTCACGAAGCGGAGAAGAGCGGATTTGAGCATGTTGCTTTGCAGAGACGCTGGCAGGCGATGGCGTGTGGCAAGGCACCACGGGGCATGGCGCGGTATCTGGCGGGGTATGGCGGGGTATGGCGGGGAATGGCGGAGCACGGCGGGGCAGCGCGGGGCACGACGGATGGGAATGAAGCGGATGAGCATGCAACGGCCGACATGATGGGGAAGGAGCGAGATACGACCAGTAGAGGATACGGATTGCATCCATTATTTTTGGGATGGAGGAGACATGGGGGCGAGGCAGAGGAGGCGACGTGAAGGACACGGAGTGGGGAAGGCTGCTGGGAGTGGAAGGAAAGCAGAGGAACACGACGGGGCACTGCAGGGGCTGCAGATGCGAACTAGAAGCGGCGCGGTAGCGAGGATTAGAACCTAGGAACCAAAAGATACGTTCATAAGAGCCTCACGGCTTGAACTGCGATGGACCGGATTAGGGTTACGCATGCTACATGTGCTGCGCGTGGTGGTTTCAGCGGCGACCCACCTGACTGCGTGGAGCACAAGGCGCGCTCAAGTTGCGCCATCCAATCTCCCGACGAGCCCTCGCGCCCCGCCATTTCCTTCTAATCAGCTGCTACTCTCGAGAATCTACTGACGTTGTGATCTGCACGATGTTTTCGTAGTAGTAATTCCATGAAAAACCAACCGCGATCGCGGCGCGCATATTTCCGTTTTGAATGTCAACAAACTGCAATGCATGCACCATCAACGAACCTTGTTAAAATGTTTTTTTACCGTTTGTTACCCAAGTATTTTATGGAACACAAAACTCGGGTCTTATGCATTTACGCCTAAATAATACCTGCGACCCTTTCTTCTAAAGTAGGATTGAACTTAACTGCAATCTTTACAATACCATTGCTGATTTTAATATTAAGGATGCAATACACTATACAATGTAAAAATCCACACCCCGGGCGTAACTGAATTGGTATCTACCAGATGTGTGCTACAGACCAGGCATTTTGTAAGGATTTACAAATTGTTACTGAGGCACTCGTTAGCGAGGCCATCCCGAGGGTCACGCGACGAACCTGTTTGGCCTATTTCGTCGCACCGAACCACCCTCGAGTCGGCCCCGCTCCAATCGCAACATCACCGAGCCATCATTTGCCCGACCTCCTCGCCTAGCTAGGATTCCTTTTATAATTTCCCGTCACTTTCCTTATATCGTGATTCAGTGATTCTGTAATTCTCATTCATGATATTCGTTATTCTGCGCACTCTGCAAGTTCATTCATACCGTATGGCCCCGGATATAGGCGCCGTCTGATTAAAGGTCAGTGCTTTGTCAGAACGTTATAGCTTATACTTTTGTACGTCTATGATGCATGCGGCTGCCCCCCATTTTCTGTGGCCGTTTGCGGTGAGGTACGCGGCGCATCAGATCAACCTTCACCCTAGGGTCTCCACGCCGGAGACCTCCCCAGCCTTGCTGTGGACGGGGAAGGTTGGCGATGCGTCGGCGTTCCGGGTCTGGGGATCTCGGGCGTTTGTCCGCGACTTGTCTGCGGACAAGCTGTCCCCTCGTGCTGCTCCTTGCGTCTTCCTGGGGTTCCCCCCCGACGCGCCTGGGTGGCAGTTCTACCACCCCACCTCTCGCCGTGTTCTGTCCTCCCAGGACGTCACATTCGACGAGTCGGTCCCCTACTACCGCCTCTTCCCCTACCGCACTCCGTCCCTCCCCCCGCCCCCGCTCTTCCTTGTACCAGGTCCCCCCCCGGTAGACCCCCTCCCCCCTCAGGGTCCTGCCCCTTCAGGTGTGTCCCAGGTAGACGCAGCCGAGCCTGTCGAGGTCACTGGTGACTCTGGTGCTGCTGAGGGTGCTGAGCCTAGGGGTGCTGAGACTGGGGGTGCTGAGCCTGGAGGTGCTGAGCCTGGGGGTGCTGAGTCTGGGGGTGCTACGCCTGGGGGTGCTGAGCCTGGGGGTGCTGAGCCTGGGGGTGCTGAGTGTGGGGGTGCTACGCCTGGGGGTGCTGGGTCTGGGGGTACTGAGCCTGGAGGTCCTCCGCCTGGAGGTTCTCCGCGTGCTTCGTCTCGTCGGGAGCCACTCTCTCCACACGAGCTGCGCGAGTGGTTTGCCCGGCGCTGGAGCCGTACTGCTGGTGCTGGAGGTTCTTCGGCTACTGAGGGTGCTGCTGTTGCGGGTCCCGGAGGTGCTCGTACTGGGAGTACTGGAGCTGCTGGGCCTGCAGGTTCGACTGGAGCTGGTGCTGCTGAGGGTGTTGGCGCTGCGGCTACCACTGGTGGAGCTGCTGGAGGTGCTGCTGGAGCGGGTGCTCCTACTGGGGGTACTGGTGCTGTCCGTGCTGTTTCTGGCGTCGCTACGCGGCCTCGACCGTACTTCGTTCCACTCCTGCAGCAGGTTCTTGGTCTTCCGCCTTCTGCTGGTCCTCCTCCTCCCTTGGAGGGTCCACAGCCTGTCCCGTCGCAGTCACAGCTACAGCCTCCCTCCCCTTTGCCTGCTCCTTCTCCCTACACTGGTCCTACTGGAGGTCTTACTGAGCGTCGTGAGCCTGCGTCTCGCCCTGCGTCGCCTGTCCGTACTGCTCGCGCTAGTGGTCGTGGTTCGCGTCCGCGTCCTCCTCCTGTCCCTGGCACGCACCGGATGTCTCTGCGTCCGTCCACTGCTCCTCTGCGTGCCCCTTTGCCTTCTCCTCCTGAGTCCTCCCTTCCTGCTCTTCCCGACCCGGAGTCGGACTCTCTTCGTGCTGCCAGTCCTACTGTCACGCGTCTCCTTGCTACTGTCGTCACTGACCCTTCTTTCGAGTCTACTGCTGCGTCTGCCCTAGTTGCTGAGCTCGTCGACTTTGCTGCTCGCTGTCGCCTAGACTACGCTGCTAGTCTTGTTGCTGAGTCTGAGTCTGTCTGTCCTCCGTCCGTCGGGGGTGAGTGTGCCCTTGGCACGGACGTCCTTGAGGACAGGCAAGAGGAGTTCCAGTGTCTGGCAGCTGCTTCACCTCATCTCGTGTCCGTACTGCTTACCCCTGAGGGAGACCCGGATGCACTTGACATCCCGACTCCGCGCTCTTACGCGGAGGCGATAGAGGGTCCCTACTCCTCTCAGTGGCAGGCAGCTATGGATGCAGAGATGGCTTCCTGGAAGTCCACAGGCACCTACGTTGACGCTGTCCCCCCTCCTGGGGCGAACATCGTCAGTGGCATGTGGATCTTCAGGGTGAAGCGGCCGCCGGGTTCTCCGCCTGTCTTCAAGGCTCGTTACGTGGCTCGTGGCTTCAGTCAGCGGCAGGGAGTTGACTACTTTCAGACCTTCTCCCCCACCCCGAAGATGACCACTCTTCGGGTACTGCTACACGTTGCTGCTCACCGTGACTACGAGCTGCACTCTCTCGACTTCAGCACTGCTTTCTTGCAGGGCAGCCTGCACGAGGAGATCTGGCTGCGCCGCCCACCTGGCTTCACTGGGTCTTTCCCTCCTGGTACCCAGTGGAGTCTCCGGCGTCCAGTCTACGGTCTCCGCCAGGCGCCACATGAGTGGCACGACACACTGAGGACTACGCTTGCGGCTCTTGGGTTTGCTCCTTCTACTGCCGACCCGTCGCTGTTTCTGCGCACCGACACCTCTCTGCCGCCGTTCTACATCCTCGTGTACGTCGACGACTTAGTCTTTGCCACAGCTGACACTACTGGACTCGCCCACGTGAAGTCCGAGCTGCAGAAGAGACACACGTGCACAGACCTGGGTGAACTGCGCAGCTACCTTGGCTTGCAGATCACCCGGGACAGAGCACGCCGCACCATTACCCTGACTCAGTCACACATGGTGCAGCAGGTCCTTCAGCGCTTCGGCTTCACGTACTCCTCGCCTCAGGCCACTCCTCTGCCTACTCGCCACTCACTCTCAGCTCTGCCTTCGGATGAGTCCGTAGAGTCGAGTGGCCCGTATCCAGAGCTTGTTGGCTGCCTCATGTACCTGATGACCTGCACACGACCTGACCTTGCATACCCTCTTAGCATTCTTGCACGCTATGTTGCTCCTGGGAGACACCGACCAGAGCACATGGCTGCTGCGAAGAGGGTGTTGCGCTACTTGTGCAGTACGTCGGGCATGGGGCTAGTGCTTGGAGGGCGGAGTCCAGTGGTCCTCACTGGGCACGCGGACGCTTCTTGGGCTGACGACCAGGCTACGCAGCGGTCGTCACAGGGTTACACTTTCAGCCTCGGTTCCGGCTCTGTTTCGTGGCGGGCTACTCGCTCGTCTTCTGTTCTCGGCTCCAGTTGTGAGGCTGAGATCTACGCTGGGGCCATGGCTGCCCAGGAGCTTCGCTGGCTCGCCTACCTGCTGACCGACCTTGGAGAGCCGCCTCGTTCTCCTCCAGTCCTGTACGTAGACAACAAGGCCATGCTGGCCTTGTGTCGAGAGCAGAGACTGGAGCACAGAACTAAGCACATTGCTCTTCGCTACTTCCTTGCTCGTGAGCTACAGCAGCGTGGTCAGTTGCGGCTTGCGTACGTGGCCTCTGAGGCCAACACTGCTGATGTCTTCACCAAGGCTCTTCCGCCTTGTGATCATCAGCGCTTCTGCACTCAGCTGGGTCTTGTCCCTGTCTTGCCTCACTTGGTCACCCCTTGACCTTGCTTGTACTGTTACATATATATCTACCTGCTCTTGCTTGTCTAGCCTTATCTATATATATATGTACTCCTGCATGTGAACTGGCCTTCTGGCCTTGAACTTGTGCTCAGAATGTGTGGTGACGTTGTGATCCACCCTGAGCTTGCCTTGCTTTGCTTTGCTTGACTGGTCTTGTGACCCCTTGTTCTCCCCCACTTTGCCTATGGGGGTGTGTCAGAACGTTATAGCTTATACTTTTGTGTAGGCTGTAGTGGGGTATCCCATAGGGGGTACAACCCAATTAGGGTTAGTACTTGTACCCACTTCATTCACAGTTCATCCACTCTTGTTTCTTCTCATGCTTCTATGTGGAGCATGGCG